TAAACATGCCTAGAGCCATCCGGAAAATCCCTCGTACATCCAGTTGGCCACGCTGATCGCTGGCGGACCTGGTGTCCACGCAAACAAAAAAGAAGAGCGACTGCAGCCAAACAAGCCTCTTGAGAGCGCCACCAAAACCACTACTTCTTGGCGCCACCACCCAGCGCTCAGGACCTCACAGAGACTTTTACGGTCAAAATGCGCCAAAACACCCAAGATTCCAGAAAGGCGAAAGCTTGCAGCAAACCTTTGATCAACAGTAAATCTGGTCGACGAAAAGGGGATGCTGGAAGTGCTACAAACAGCATCGGTCGAAATATTCTCCCATGGGGAAAAACTCCGTCCCCCAAAGCGAAGAGGCCCGAGCGAACCGAGATCCCACGGAACGAAAAACCTCGCAGGCGAAAAGCACCCCCAGTAACCACAAAGGCAGGAAGCAGACAACATCGCCGCAGAGGCCCCCTTGGTGCCTTGGACTCAGACGCAAACCCGGTGCACAACTATTAAGCCTCCTAACCAACCTGGTCACTCCACTTTCGGCTCCTCACCTTCGGAGGAAGCAGAGGCAGTGTTGAAATGCTTGTCTACAAACTGCCTCAGGCTTTTCAACAAACACAGCGATATTTAACAGTCAGCTTGTTTTGAACAACCGTCCATAATCGCACTCACAGAGACCTGGCTCACACCAGATGTCTCTGACGCAGAGATCTCGATAGAAGGGTACTCTATTTTTCGAGCCGACTCAAAACGAGGGCGAGTAGGCGGGGTTGCACTGTGCTTACATGCGACCCTACCAATCCCGATTGTCCTCTCTGACACCACCCCCGCTGCCTTTTGCGATGCACTGTGGGTCCAAATCCCGCTGCGCGGGTTCGATTCTCTTCTTCAAGGTGTGGTCCGCCGTAGCCCATCGAGTCCCCCTGAAGATGACCAATTCCTCACAAAAACCCTTGAGCAACTCTCCTCCAACTACCACTTCACTCATCTTCTGGTAGGTGACTTCAACGCCCCAAAGGCCTGCTGGATGGAACTCCAGCGCGTCGCATCAGGCGGAATTTTTGAAGTCGTTCAACAAAGCGCTTGGACTCAACTTGTCGTTGCACCCACTAGATACCGTGCAGGCCAACTACCAACT